GCCATGGAGTGTGGGTGTTCTTCCCCCTCATGCAAGGAGTAGCAGTGTTGTGGGGTGGGGGTAGGTTGGGTCGGCTTATGGCGTTTGGTTGGAGCCTTGCCTTTGCCTGGGATAACGTTCCCCGTTTCGCCCTTCCAGTGGCATTTGGTAGGTCGTGGGTCAGCCTGTGTCTGCGTTTCTGAAGCCTCAGAATCATAGTCATGGTGTGGGGCTTTAGTGGAAAAACATGGTTAGATCGGCTGATGCCGTCATTACCCTGGAAAGTGCTTTCTCCATAGATGCGGAGATGGCTTTAGTAATCATTGCCTGAAAATCTACAGGGTTCTGGGGAGTATCCATAGTGTTTTAGGAGCAGGACCGGAATAGCTCAGAATATTGTTTGGCACAGGGTATATGTTGGGCTAGGGGTCAGTCTGTGGTGTGGATCACAGTAAGTGATGGTACCAGTGGCACCTGGAGAACCCCAGCAGGGTATAAGTATATATAAAATAATAATGCAGGCACCCCAGCAGGGTGGGTATGTAAAATCCAAGTATGTGGTATAAGAATACCAGCTTCCCCAGCAGGGTAGATTGGGATTTGCACTGGGCCTCACCCAGATATGTATATGTATAGGAAGATGGCACAAAATCCACCTGAATAGAAGATTACAAGGTTACACCTGATTATATACATATATAGGTGGCACAAAATCCACCTGAAAGCAGCAGTACTTAAAGGGCCTCACCCAGTTATATAAATAGAAAGGTGGCACAAAATCCACCTGATATCAGTAAGGGTATAGTGGTTCCCCACTGTGTGGGGCTGACAGCTGTTATGGTAGTTAAATAGGCAAAGAACAAATTTGCTGACCCCTGCCTGGATGGTGAGCTAGTATTTGTGGTCGGCCGCAGGTAATCTCGCGAGACGCGAGATCCAATATGGCCACCGGGGAGACGGGAAAGGGGTTTCCCGCCGTGCCGGCCAGTGATTGCGGCTGAGAGGCCGCGAGGAGAACGGTGAGAGTGGAGGGTGAGCGTTACCCTCAAGGACAAAACCAACGATCCGATCTCAGGGAAAGTGAGATCGGAAAGTGCCATGAAAAAAGCAAAAACGGATAGATAATAAAATAAAGTAGAATAAAATACAATAAGTAAAATAAAATCAATATAAATGTAGATCTGAGGAAAGATAGCAGTATACAAATACAAGTCCCTGAGGGCAGGGAGGGAAAGCAGCAGGGAAGAATCCCTGAGAGGAGATAGTACAATGTAAAAGGGGGGAACAGAAAGTCCTAAGAGACAGATAGGGAAGAAAAAACCCCAGAAAATAAACATCCATAGATAAGGAGAAATCATAAAGGTAACATAATTCAATACAATTAGGGAAGAGCCAAAAACTCTGACCTGTCTGCTGATGGAGCAGTAAAGAAAGAGGGGGAGGAGCCTCATCACTGTGAATACCATGCTTCCTATTGCATTTTGATTGGTTAATGTTTCACTTTTCTTTACTGCTGTGTGAGTTAGTAAAGAGAGTTTAATGCAAAATAGGAAGCCTCCTGTCATGTGGTAAAATTAAGAAATAGCTTAGATTGTAGAAATATATACAAAATATATAAGTAGTATGAATAAGCATATCTGCCAAAGAAATACCTACTGTAGCATTATAGTAATTTTTGACTACTAGTATCCTTATTAGAAAATTAAAAGAAGAATATATCTGCCGAGAATTTTATATTGTAAAATTATGGTCATATTAATAACAAATATCCTTTTTAAGAAAATTATACATAGAAGATATGCCGTTTAGAAAATTGGATTTTATTATATTATAGAGTTAAATGAGTGATAAACTAAAAATAAAACTGTTTTTTATATTTGGAAAATATGTATATCATATATGGGACTTAGATAAGATGGATCCTAAAACTATATATGTATATAATTCTTTTGTGTAAATGCAATAAGATAAATTGTAGAATATAAGAGTATTCCTAGAATATTGATACTGGATTTCTCTTTATTATATTACACCTATCTTCTCCACGGTCCGGAAACGAGTACGGGAACGGCTGCTGGAACGCATGAGGAAACGCAAGACTGGAAGTGACGTATCGGCGTCCAACACGAGAAAATAATTGAAAATGAGGCTTGAAACACATGACGTCTCCATCACTATGTGAAATTACAAGCCTGAAATGAATAAGTTCCCCCATTGGAGGGGTATATATAGCAGAAAATAGTCCAAAGAGAATTGACATTTTTTACCCAGCTGAGGTTTACATTGGCGAAACGCGTCCTGGGAACTGTGAGCATTAAGACTCTGATATTGCCGAATAAGTGTATCTATATGTTATGTATATAGATGTGTATTTTAAATTTTTTTTTTATATATATATATTAATGGTGAATGAAGCACTTTTTTAATACACTTATGGCATTTTCCTGCTACTATAAAGAAGAAATGTGGTCCTTAACCACATATGCGATCTAATCTGAGCCTATTGGAAGGCTCTTGGTTTGTGAGTACTATACTTACCTTTAATTTGACTACTCATGCACAGAACAACAATATTGCACCATATGTGTTTTTTCTTATAATATTATATAGGACAGAACACTCAGAAAATCAATCATAAAGAAGGGAAAAGGTCGCCTCAATGGAACCCAAAGCATATTAAGTTGAGCTAAGTCTTTAGCTCAATATATTGTGAGTGGTGACTTGACTCAATATTTCACTCTATAGGTTTTGCACAGTCTGCACTATGATATGTTTTTTTTAATGTTTTAAAGGGACACCACACAAGTACCAGGATTCCAAAGTAGGGAACCAATCTAAGGTATAGAAAACATTATTTTGCACATTGCACTTTATAGTGTTATTATACACTGCTCAAAAAAATAAAGGGAACACAAAAATAACACATCCTAGATCTGAATGAATTAAATATTCTTCTGGAATACTTTGCATAGTTGAATGTGCTGGCAACAAAATCACACAAAAATTAGAAAATGGAAATCAAATTTTTCAACCCATGGAGGTCTGGATTTGGAGTCACACTCAAAATTAAAGTGGAAAAACACACTACAGGCTGATCCAACATCTATGTAATGTCCTTAAAACAAGTCAAAATGAGGCTCAGTAGTGTGTGTGGCCTCCCTGCAACGCCTGTGCATGCTCCTGATGAGGTGGCGGATGGTCTCCTAAGGGATCTTCTCCCAAACCTGGACTAAAGCATCTGCCAACTCCTGGACAGTCTGTGGTGCAACGTGATGTTGGTGGATGATGTCCCAGATGTGCTCAATTGGATTCAGGTCTGAGGAACGGGCGGGCCAGTCCATAGCATCAATGCCTTCGTCTTGCAGGAACTGCTGACACACTCCAGCCACATGAGGTCTAGCATTGTCATGCATTAGGAGGAACCCAGGGCCAACCGCACCAGCATATGGTCTCACAAGGGGTCTGAGGATCTCATCTCAAAGAAATGCCACCCCACACCATTACTGACCCACTGCCAAACCTGTCATGCTGGAGGATGTGGCAGGCAGCAGAACGTTCTCCACGGCGTCTCCAGACTCTGTCACGTCTGTCACATGTGCTCAGTGTGAACCTGCTTTCATCTGTGAAGAGCACAGGGCGCCAGTGGCGAATTTGCCAATCTTGGTGTTCTCTGGCAAATGCCACACGTCTTGCACGGTGTTGGGCTGTAAGCACAACCCCCACCTGTGGACGTCGGGCCCTCATACCACCCTCATGGAGTCTGTTTCTGACCGTTTGAGCAGACACATGCACATTTGTGGCCTGCTGGAGGTCATTTTTCAGGGCTCTGGCAGTGCTCCTCCTGTTCCGCCTTGCACAAAGGTGGAGGTAGCAGTCCTGCTGCTGGGTTGTTGCCCTCCTACGGCCTCCTCCACATCCGATGTACTGACCTGTCTCCTGGTAGCGCCTCCATGCTCTGGACACTACGCTGACAGACACAGCAAACTTTCTTGCCACAGCTCGCATTGATGTGCCATCCTGGATGAGCTGCACTACCTTAGCCACTTGTGTGGGTTGTATACTCCGTCTCATGCTACCACTAGAGTGAAAGCACCGCCAGCTTTCCAAAGTGACAAAAACATCAGCCAGGAAGCATAGGATCTGAGAAGTGGTCTGTAGTCACCACCTGCAGAACCACTCCTTTATTGGGGGTGTCTTGCTAATTGCCTGTAATTTCCACCTGTTGTTTATCCCATTTGCACAACAGCGTGTGAAATTGATTGTCACTCAGTGTTGCTTCCTAAGTGGACAGTTTGATTTCACAGAAGTGTGATTGACTTGGAGTAACATTGTGTTGTTTAAGTGTTCCCTTTATTTTTTTGAACAGTGTATATAGTTTCTACCTAAAATTACTGCAGCGCTCACCATTAAACTTTCTCGGATTCTAATATTAAAAGATAAGATTATGGTGAATATACTAGAGCTGGTGCATTATCCTTTGTATATTATTAAAAACAAATATCTAATGCAATTCTGAGATAATTTTATAATTAGACTATTTTAGCCTCTATTGATCACTGAATAGGCTCTGACTCCTGTTGTCAAGGTAAAGGGTATAACCCAACATGCAGAACTTATATATAAAAGGCTTATATTGATGCTGGAACAAAAAAAATTAAAAAAGAACTAAGGGGAGCAACGTTTTGAATAAAGTACAGATTTAGGAACACGCACACACAAAGAGACAGTTTTACATTGTACACGGCTACTTAAAATCACCAACCTCAGCAAAAAATATGAGGATTTAGTTCCACCATGTGGACATATTGTGTTAAGCTCCCCACCACATCACAGTACCCCAATATCAGTAGGTGATGCACTAATATTAACATGGGCACAAATTAAACAGTTCTATAGCTAAATGAACTAAAGTGTATTTAATTAATCTTTTTTTTTAAAGAGCATTGTGAATCTATAATGCAAAATTCATGTGATAAACCCCACTCCCCCCAAAAATGAATCAACACATTGTTTCATGAGATAAGAGATTTTGAATATTAGTCTTTACAGCACCATCACTACTTAGAAAAGTATATTCTGTATGTGCCCCCAATTCCTCTTTTTTCAAAGCAAGCGGCGTTCTATGGTAGAACTGACACCTAAATGACGCAGGTCTGGACTTGAACTTTGATATCCTCCAAAATTAACATGAATGTGACGCGGTTCTGGAATAGGACCCAAAGAAAATTTAATCTCACACGTGTTCATTGACTATACCCCATTTATACGTCAATGTTGATTAAAAATGGAGCATATTAACTATGGGAAGACAGTTTGAGACATTATGTGAATACTAATGTTTGTTAGATTTTGCTGGCATGGGCGTTTAGTAAAGAAATTCATAGCACTCACCTCTTTCTGTCTTTTAATAAAATCTTCTCTTTTCATCACATTACAAAAATCTTTGAATTATATTTTTAAATTTAAGTTTGTAGAATTTTGAACTTCTGGCTCACATTTTCTTCTTATTCTCATATCTCTACAATGTAGATTACATGTTACAATATATGTGTGTGTCACAACTAATTTTCAATAAGAAGGCTTTCAAAAATAACATGTTTTAAATACAGATGGGTGGCATTCAATTGGCATTCTGGTAAAGTTCATAACATCTTCTATTACTGTTAGGATTGATGGAGTTAGACTGAGATTTGGAAACATGCAGGGAATTCATGATTTTAAAGTTTGTCTCTAAATGATGCATGCTTGGATTAACTACCGATCGGAGACATTGTAATAGTGCCATTGATTAGCAGCAGGACTGAAGAACAACCACCTTCTGCAGCTTGCTTCACGGGGAGAAATAAATAATTTTATCTTCATACTTCCCAGAAAAGGAATTTCATGAAATATGTTCTGATATTATTTTAAATGCAAATGCAAATAAATAAATAAAAATAGAAAGCATTGCCTGGGACTAAGGGTTAATTTTGTATAAATTACCTTTGCTCATTCCCCGGCATCATGTTGTTTGTAATCATTAGCAACATGTTTAACCCCTTAAGGACTGGACTGTTTTTGCGATGTTGTACATTTGCGACCAGGAATATTTTTACACTTTTCTGGTGTTTGTGTTTGGCTGTAATTTTCCGCTCTTTCATTTACTGTTCCCATACAAATTATATATTGTTTTTTTCAGGACAAAAGGGGCTTTCTTTACATACCATTATTTATATAATCTCATGTATTTTAATTTAAAAAAAATAAAAAAAATCTGATGAAAAATTGAAAAAAATACATGTTTTTTGACTTTTACTTGAAAAATCTTTTACTCATCTACAAAAGCGAATTAAAAAAACTGCTAAATAGATTCAAAATTTTGTCCTGAGTTTAAAAATACCCAGTGTTTACGTGCTTTTTTGCTTTTTTTGCATGTTATAGGGCTATAGGTACAAGTAGGATATTGCGGTTTCAAAACATGCATTTTTAAAATTTATCAATAGTGACATTGTAACACTATTATCTGTCATAAATCTCTGAATAACACCCCACATGTACATATTTTTTTTAAAGTAGACAACCCAGGGTATTCAATATGGGGTATGTCCAGTCTTTTTTAGTAGCCACTTTGTCGAAAACACTGGCCAAAGTAAGCATTCATATTTGTTTGTGTGTGAAAAAAGTAAAAAAACTAAATTGAACGCTAATTTTGGCCAGTGTTTGTGACCAAGTGGCTACTAAAAAAGACTGGACATACCCCATTTGCAATACCTTGGGTTGTCTTCTTTTGCAAATGGTATGCCATCATGGGGGTAATTCTCATTCCTGGGCTACCATACGCTCTCAAAGGCAACGTAACCAACCTGGCCATTTTCAATGTAAAAATATTTGACCCATGTATTTGACCTTGTAACTTTCAAAAATGCTATAAAACCTGTACATGGGGGGTACTGTTTTACTCGGGAGACATCGCTGAACACAAATATTAGTGTTTAAAAACTGGAAAACGTATCACAACAATTATATCATCAGTAAAAGTGCTGTTTGTGTGTGAAAAATGCAAAAAAAGTAACTTTCACTGACAATATCATCGCTGTGATATGTTTTACTGTTTTGAATCACTAATATTTGTGTTCAGCGAAGTCTCCCGAGTAAAACAGTACCCCCCATGTACAGGTTTTAGGGTGTCGTAGAACGTTACAGGGTAAAATACAGTGCTAGCAAATTAAATTCTCTGGAATTTCGGCCTGGGTTGGCAGGCAGGTCCCTCAAATTGCAATCAATAAAATTACTGAATTATGTAAAAATATTACATAAATACGCACGTAGAATTTAAATATATATGCATATTTATATATTTGAAGTCTACGTGTATATTTATATAATTATTTATGTAATTTTGTATATGGACATATGTATATTTCTTATTATTTTTATTTATTTTTATATACATAGATATATATACAAATTCATTCTAAGTGTATTTTGATATAAATATATATATATTAATTTTAAAATACAGTTAGAATAAAATTTCATATAGCTATATAATTTTTTTAAAATTTTTTATTATTATTTTAAAATTTTTTTATTTAATTTAAATTACTTATTATTTATATTTTATAATAATATATATATACAATCTATATAGTTATTATATATATTATATATATACGTGTGTAATTTAATTATAAGTGTATTTTTATATTAATATAAGTACATATTAATATAAAAATACACTTAGTATGACATTATATATATATGATATATAGACATATATTATATAGATATAATATATGTCTATATATCATATATACACATATATAATTATTATTTATTTTTTTATTAACATTAACTTTATTTATTTTTTTGATTTTACACTAGCAGGGAGACTGCCTGTCAGCACAGGCAGTCCCCCTGCAGGCAGCACTATGGACACCCATTGTGACCATGTGATCGCTATGTTAAGCGATCACATGGCCCCAGGGGTCCTAAATCAGTGTGGGGAGACTGTCTGGGCTGCAGGCAGTCTCCCCACACCGGGAGCAACACTGATCGCCGCCGGGGGAACGACGGCGATCAGGTAAGTAACGGAAACCGTTAGGACGGTTCAGGACCGTCATCGGTCCGCAATGGGAAAATCCCGATGACGGTCCTGAACCGTCCTCGGTCGGGAAGGGGTTAAAGTAAAACAATCAGAAATAAAATGTTTTATATCTATCCCTCACTATCACAGGTGCTTCGTAACCTTTCAATGCAGAGAGTACTAGGTGGAAGGATTTCAGAAGTAAGTGGATTAGTCTCATAAGAGCAGGCATTAGGTTGTTTGAGTAGGACCCATTGTTAATTTCGTCGACTAACAATTTTCATCAGATTCAGTTGACAAGAAAGAGACAAAGTGCTGGGGAAGAGACACACAGAGGGGCTGGGTGGGGGACATAAAAAAAGCGCACATGAAAAAAGCGCACATGAAAATTGCACACAGAAAAAGCTCCACTGTGTTAAATGCCACGAAAAAAATGCCCACACGGAAAAAAGCCCACACAGAATAAAACCCACATAGAAAAAAACCCACACTGAATAATATGCACATATAAAATCTTTCCCATTTATGAGCATGAATATGAGTATTACCTACATTTTATTTTGTTATCGATATCTTATGATTGAAACATCTCACATTCATATGCAACAATTTGCATTGTTGTTGCTAAACAAAATGTGGCCTGTGTACGTAGAGGGGGGCGTTCTATGCCGCCCTTAGGGAACCAGCTCTAAACGCCAGAGGGAGGCATAGAACGCTCTAACGGTCCTTTCTACTTACCGTGGGATCGCCGGTGATCGCGGTATGGGGACTTACCTGGGAGCCCAGGGAGTCCCCCTCTGTCCTCTTCGCCCCCCCTGGGCCATGTGATCGCGAGGTCCTTGCGAGGACCTCACAATCACATAGACGGCATAGCAGTCCAAGCCATTGCCAGCAGGGGGAGTGCCTATAATGACAGGTACTCCCCCTGCTGTCTGGAAAAAAAATAAAACATGTTAAAACAGTGTAAAATTAAATAATATATACTTAGATCATATATATATCTATTATATATGATCTAAGTATATACATACATACACATACACTGTCTAAGTGTATTTTAATATTAATATATAATTATAAATATATATTAATATCAAAATACACGTACAATGATATTGATTAACTATATATAATTTTCATTATATATATATTTATATATAATATAAAATAAATATGTAAATATGTTAAAAAATAAAATTAAAAAAAATTATAAAAAATAAATAAATAAAAAATATATGTGTAAATTCATTCTAACTGTATTTTAAAATGAATATATATGTATATATATATATATATATATATATATATATATAGATATCAAAACACATGTAGAACGAAATAATATATATATCTATATACATAAGTATATACGTATATATCACTATATATATACCTATATATAAATAAAAATAATAAAAAAAAAATGATATATATATATATATATATATATATATATACACACACACACAGACATATATATATATAATTCTAAATACTTTATTTTCTGGCGTATAAGATTACTTTTTAACCCTGGAAAATCTTCTCCAAAGTCGGGGGTCGTCTTATACGCCGGGTATAGGCTTTATATGGCTGCCGGCTGCGCCCTGCGCCCCCATCGCTGGCCCTTCTAATGCTGCAGCCGCCTTAGCGCTCTATAGAGAGCGCTCAGACGGATGCCGCACTGCCTCTCTTCTCACCTCCCCTTCCCTGTGCAGAGTGGGTGGCCAAGCTCCTCTTCATCCTGTCAGTCCGGCTGGGAACAGGTAACTGAATCTCCTGTACCGCGCGGTACCCGGCCGTACTGACAGGATGAAGAGGAGCTCGGCCACCCACTCTGCACAGGGAAGGGGAGGTGAGAAGAATGTAGGGAGGATTGGGGGGTAGGGGGGGTAAAAAGAATGAGGGGAGTAAAAAGAATGGAGGGGGGAGTTAAAAGAATGGAGGGGGGAGTAAAAAGAATGGAGGGGGGGAGTAAAAATAATAGAGGGGGGGAGTAAAAAGAATGGAGGGAGGGGAAGTAAAAAGAATATATCGCAATTAGCCTCCTGTGTGCTAGACCAGCAAGCATGGATTATATGCCCAAACACCTTGGCACATACCTGGGCTATTTCAGATTATCATTATTTAATGTCTTGCTGTGTAGCTCTGTCTGCTCACTGTACATCATGGCTA